ATATATAGATATACAATCAGTACAAAATAATTACAGGATCACTGCATTTCTCATCCAATTGTTAACAATCTCAATTTTCTTTTCTGAAGGTCATGATTAGAAAAGAAGTGAAGAAAAACAGTTGATTGATGTAGAAATTGAGTTCCTTTCCTTTGAAAATTCTAATTATAATGACCAAAAATACAACGTTTACATGAAGAAATGTTTATTGCTGTCCTTCATCATGCAGTTTTTTTTCCTGATTTCTTTTGAAAATGTTTAATCATTACAAAATTTAATGCTAAAATCTTCTTGGCTCAAAAACCAATCTTGAAAAAGAGATTCAGTGAATAAATTTCAACATACAATTACTTTCTTATCTTATAGAGGAAAATGAACACTATAATAATCCATCACTGATAATTCCACGGACTTATATTTACCAGAAATACAAACCTACTTCTCCATTTCCTATTCCAACAGTCTATACAAACTACGAGTGTTACATTTCTCCTGGTGGAAACTAAAATGTGCAGATTGCATGTAGAATTCAAATTAATTTTGGTAAGTTCACGGTTCAAATGAGACAGGTGAAAAAGCAATACATTATGCTAATTTTAGGTAATTGTGGTTAAAACTCCTATAATTTAAATAATTATCTTGTCAATGCCATCAAACCAACAAATATTATCTCCCTTTAAAAAAAAGAAATCTGCAGATGATGGCATTATATTCATAGCTTTTCAAGACTTTAAGAAAAGTCAAGCTTGTGTTATAGAAGTTAAGTTTTTCTTGTATTATTTAAAGAGCCCTTTAAAAAATCACCGGTATGAAATTTTGATGACTATCACACAATGACTGAATATGTTTTGTTTCAGAAAGGAAGATATTTCCTGTAAGCATACCACACCCAATGAACCAACCGTAACCTATATTGATTCCATTTTCTAAAGCATTGCCACAAAGACACTTTACTGGACTGTAAACTTACTTGTCTAGCAGATATCTGATCTCAATGAACATAATCACTTATACATTTCATAAAGCCTGAAAGCATAAGAAATTGGAAGTTCTGGCTGCTCAGGACTGCTCTGAAATCACTATTTGTGAACATTTGTTTTTCTAATTATGTGGTCTCCTAGTTAAGAGTTATCATCCTTGATTAATGGAGATCTTGGCTTTAATTCCCATTTGGATTAAACCAAAAACTTTAAGAAAAATTTTCCGTATTACATAGTTGTAAAAAGTTGATGTCAACACACCCTGTACAATAAGTACATATGTAATGTGAAACATGCGCATTTTTGCCATCATGACACTGCTGGGGTGATAATTGCACATGATTAAAGCCTACATCAATGGCTTTAGTTATAGATTTCTCTTACATCATCTATGGAGTCTTTAACTGGGGTAGTTGGACAACAGAATGCCTAAAGTGGCTGTCAGATGTCAGAGCAATCTTTTCCACTAGAATAGCTTTGGCATACTTTATTTGAGATCCATTGAATATAGGCATACAGTTTAATATAATCTTCCCCCAATTTTCTCCTCCCAAAAATTTTTGTCAAATTATCCTTCTGGACTTCAAAGTACCAATATTTGAAAATATCCACAGAAGTAATTTCATTTCAATGAAACAATCAATTTGTTTATGAGTTAAGTCGTAAAAAATGTTATAGCTTAACCTGTTCTAAAAGTATTTAGCCATAAATATAGCTTACAATATTACTTACATATTTAAACCCATCTCAAAGTTACTTAATAATATACCATTATGTTCAAATCTTACGATTTCAAAATCAAACATTTACAGTACAGATGCACTGAACAAACCCCTCCCCCCACTGATTCACCTTTTTCCTATCTGTCAATCACCTGATCACCCAGCATTGTTTGCCCTATGCAACACAACAGGTACACAAGGAAGGGCATTGATTGTTTGATATTAATAATTTTTATGAGGAGGTTATCATTTGCGGGGTACTGACCCTATAGTTATTAATTATCCAGGGTCTTGCCCTTAAATATATTTAAACAACATGAATCACAAGTACTTCTGAATAAATACTGGGAAAGGTCGATAGACCTATTTTGGCCCTCTCACCTGGTTGACGATTCCTTCATATAAATACTATTTATGGAATATAAATTTCTTTTTAGTTGTACTTTTTCAAAACCACATCAAATGTGTAAAATTTTTAATTGAAGTTTAAAAAGTTTAAAGATTAAAGTAATTCCTAAACATAAACAAGCAATTCAAATTGTGCTAGGATTAGGAAGTATTAAGTGTTTGGTTAAACTTTCAAAATGGAAAAAATTAAGGCCTCAAAACTCAACTTTCCTTTTCATCTGTACATGAGCATTCAACCCAAATAATCCAGTCCCTCCCCGTGATCGACTCTCCCACTTGCGAGGGCCAAAACTCTTTATACGATAAAAGCATGTCACGAATCCAGGATTTTGATTGGTGCTTTCTGTGAGAGAGAGCCAATCAGCTAATAGCTTAATGTTATCGAGATAGGTAAATCCAGAGCTAATTCCGAATGATTATTTGACGATTTTTAATTGACTAAGCCTTCAGGCGTTAATGTAGCCATCGTACAGCAGCGGAAAATAACGACTGAATTATTCGGGTTAATGAGCATTGGATATATTACAAAATTTGGCAAATTTTTTTTTCCAAAAGCATTTAGCTTTAGAAAACAGCATCAGAGATGATGATGATTAGCATGGCTGCAAAATGATGGTATTTCTGTTAACTTATCTATAGGAACCAAACTTGAAAGGGAAAGTATAATGAAATGCATGCAATATTTTTAACACATCAATAATGCTCTACAAGAAACCAAGTCAAAATTTTAGAAAATATTCCATTTTCATTTTAAAGTGAAATCTACATGAAAAATATAAATAAGGTTATTTGATATATTGAGGAATATTATGATGAACAGTATATAATATTGTAAGGGACAATATTTATAGCACTAATTATCCTTTTATAATATATAGTACTAAACATTTCAGCAATTTTGAGGATATTAACTTCATCCAATTCCTGCAGCTCTCAGGTGCCTGCCAATTAATAAAGATGCAATGTCCATTTCCTTCATCTACTTTATCGCTCAGTTTGCATGCATGCAATTATCATACTATAACCTACCTTAAGTGCATACAAAATTTTAAGGAGAAAGTTTATAATACAATATCGGCCAAGATGCATTATTTTTAGCTCATCAAAAATATGGTTTAAGAAAACCAGTCAAGATACATGATTGTGTATCTGTAAATAATGCATTGACTTGTAAATGTGAATTTGATGCCACAACAAAGATGAAAGTGTTCGTGGCATTTCAGTAACATCAATATCAGTTCTTAAAGAAGCGCAAATTGAGAAATCATTGATTCCATTCCAATGAGATTATCGCCTGCATTGACTGAGAACTCTATTTTTCTTAATCTATACTTGGCATTTACCAGTCCAACCAAACATTTCCTATTCCTTCTTGATTCCACTATTCCATGCAACAGCTAAATAAAATTACATTTGAGAGAACTATTCAACAGAATTCATCATCAAAAGATATGATTTGCACATTTTCTTGCTATGGCATTTGTACCATAAATAGTAAAATTATAGTTTCATGTTATCCATTATATAGAGATTGCCTTTTGTCTCCATGTTTAAATATTGACATTTTTTATTCTTTTAAAACACTTACCATTTACTTGTAGCCTGTAATGTATAGAGCAAGCAGACTTATGTCCAAGTTATCTAATCTACAATGTAATTAGGCTACTAGTATATCCTGGTCAACTTAATGTCCACTTGTTTTGTTAAAAACATCCTGTTTGACAGCTTCTTCAAAGGTTTTTAGGCTTAAGTCTGATTTTTCACTAAAATTATTTAACCTCTTTCATGACAGGCAGTTGACTGCCATAACTTTACCTCATGTTTGGTCAAAATTACGCAACCGAACAGCTTTTGAAAAGCTTTAACTGAAACTCTATCTGTCCTGATTCTAATTGGACAAGACAGCTTGAAAAACAAATTCCACACCTTTAGGAAAAAATATCATATACTTCAAATTTGCAAGCATGTGCACAGATGAAATTTAAAACCCTGTTTACATCTTTAGATATTTGGTGTCAATCTAAACACATGTCCAGATTATTTCTGCCCTGATCAACACAAGCCATAAATCTAATTCTTATATCTCAACAAGCATGATCAATTAATTACCTACATCAAAGGGATTTATTATAGTGAACATAAATAAGTGTTAATTGGTAACACCTATCTATATGACATTACAGGTTAATTGTCGTATCAGAGATACAGTTATACATACATTTATTCATTTTATCAAGTACCTTTAAAGCTTAAACAGTTTGAAAAATTATGTTTATACAAACATTAACACTTAGAATTCCTTCTTTTGATCTTCTTTCCAAGTTTTTTTTTCTTCTAAAGAAATGAAGGCAAGAAAAAAAGGTATTGGAGACACATTCCCCATTTCCATTCTCAATTTTATTGGAGAATCTTGTTTTTCTTATTTATTACTTGAGCATTATTTTGTAAAATTATTGTTTCAGCCATGATAGATTGAAAAATATTTCCTTGTATGGAAAGGATATCCACCTACTTAAAACAAAGAGATTTAGAAGAAAACATTAATTCAGTTTCCATGGATCAAATCTTAAGTTTAATCTTCATTAATCCCAATAAAAAATACATCTCCACTCTTACATCCATTAATTGCTAAAAGAATAGTGCTAAATAAATCGGAGAATGAAAAAGGCAATTTTTAAAGAATATATAATAGGAAAAGACAAACTGTAGCAGGAGAGAAATTTGTTCTGAACATGCTGAAAGTTCACCTTAAAAATAATCATAAATAATGAAAATTATAATAATCTATCTTCTAAAATGATCTGCATGCAACAAAAAAAAAAGTGTGGGAATAACCAAGAACGAAAAAAAATATAAAAATCCTGATTATTTACACTTAAAGCCTACTCACCTAAAACCCCTCCTGTTTGCATAGCTACAAAAATAATTCAAAACTATGGTCAAAATCAAACAACAAAATCATTAGCAAGGTGAACCAACCACATACTCGATGACCTGACCACATTGTTTGCAAAGAATCATCACTTGAAGGCGTAAACAGTCCTGGGTAACAGTTGCAATGAGAAAGGTGTTACAGGCCACAGATCAAACATAAAAATAAAGGGACAGGTGAAAATTCAATATCCCTGTTGTTTTACTGTAGCTAATTCAATTAGATTCTCATTTCATGGTACATGAAGTAACAATTGCAATCTGATTGTCCTTTGTAAAACTGATACCCATAAATCATACATGATTCCTTTCTGTATATACCCCATGTTGTTTTGCTGAAGTCCTTCAATTTTATTTCATTTTTAGGATCCATGATGCTACATACTAATTGTCCATTAATGAAGAACTGATACCCGTAAATCACCCCCAAGGTCATTACTATTGTCAGGAGTTATGTCCCTTTTTAATACTTTTCCAGCCCACATGATAGCAGTCAATAAAGCTGACTGGCAGGCAATAAACGGAATGTAAAATGCTAATTTCTTATGTTACAATAATGAGGAATATAAAAACAATCCTAATTAGCTTGAGTCCCTAGATGGAAACAGTGTCAGTCAATTAGTGTGTTCTGAAATGTTCTTTATATACCGGTATATATATCTTTATTCCGGTATATATATCTTTATTCCGACAAACCTTCGTCAATACAATGGTATACAGAAGTTACGTGTAATAAATAGTACAGTTATAAACTATTTTACAATAACGAGGAATATAAAAACAATCCCAATTAGCTTGAGTCCCTAGATGGAAACAACGTCAGTCAATTAGTGTGTTCTGAAATGTTCAGAGACCTACATTTTTTTTTATTTGAAGAACAAAAAGATCACAGAAAAAGGCCTTAGGGCATATGGTATCTGTTGCAAATGGCTAGCAGAAAATTGTTACAAAATAACTATTAAATTCAGAATTCTAGGCAAAATGAGTGATAATGATATTAGAATATTTCTTTTATCCAAAACATGTACACAGTTTCAATACTACTTGATAGAAATAACACAGTAAGTCTATAAATAACCTAATCCAGGAGATCTTTTAGTTGCTGATTATATAATATCCACAATTGCTAATTGGAAATTCATCAATCAAAAACCATTGCTTACATCTCAGCAATAAACTCCCTCTAAAAACTATTATAGATGAACTTGAAGAACAAAAAAACATTAATATCAAAAACACATGTATTACAGTCTTACCAAGTTAAACTCTTAAAGAATGATTTCATTTCATGTATGCTCCACTCATATCCAATTTGAAAGTAACAATTTCATAGTGTTCTAATAAATCACTTTAATTTCCCCGACACCTAACCACCTCATGTACACCTTAACCAACTTTACAAAACCAAACAAAACCATCAATTTTCATTCTCAATTAACTTTTAATTTTTAATTTTCTGACTATTGTCCAGTGAATACAATATTTTCATAAGGATGGTTGGCCTCTCCCTATTTAGGTACATTTTATTATTGTCCATGAATAAAGAACTACACAGGCAATTGACAAGTTACAAAAGAAATAAACATCTCAATTAAAAATCAAATTTCCACAGTGTTTAGTGACAGGTTGCGAATTATTGAAAACGACATGGATATCAATCTTTTTAAAAAATTCATAGTTGTCAAGTTTCTAATTTTTTACTTATGTAAAATAATAAAATTTCCATAAATATGACCACATTCCCCTTATTTTGAACTTAATTCTAGTACATTTCAAACAATAATTTGAAAGATTAAGATCAAATTTAAATTTATGAATAACAATGATAGTCTTACAATTTTCAACTTTCAAATATTATGGCATAAAAACATGCATAAATTGCTTTCAAATATGAACTTTCTGAATGCACAGGTTGAAAATAACAAAATTGAAGCATATTTATAGGTCAAAGTTTAAAACCATGTTGAAGTTGAAGTTTAAAGTGCTGAATATGTCAAATTTATAAGCCAGCTTAAAAGCGTTGAAATTGTAAAATTTAGTTCAATAATGAGGACCAATCTAATTGTTTTCATCATTATCTAAAGATTAGCTGAGACACTTAAACATGGTTAGAGATCCTTCTTGGGTTACAGGCAGTTCAAACGGAAAGATTCAGCTAATGATGAGTTTAACTTCCAGTCAAAGACTGCCTGGGCTGAACAGGCTCACAATTATTTTGGAAAACTGAATTTGTAGTACATGTATATGAAATATGCATATTCAATTGTAAGTCTGAACAACCATTTATTTTCTTTGAAAAAAAACTGTGACCTTAGTAACTTTTCATGCTTCATCAATTTTGCATTGACTCTATAAATGTTCATTTGAAATAAAGTGAAATCTGTAATATGCCTATAAAGCTGCTTAAAACTTCATCAAAATCAAAAGTTAATGTCACCAAATAATAAGAAAAAAGACCCAACAACTGACAGACTCAGTACATACTTGACAAGCCATTATATCAAAATCAACGAAAACTTACATTTGAGAAAGTGCTAAGACAACAGGATTTATAAATTATATCACAAGTAATCCTTAAATCTCTCAAGAGTGTATTTAGGTCACCTTTTATACTTGTTTAATTGCATCCTTAAAAGTCCACTTGACTTCCAAGTGATTTCTGAGCGAAAACAATATTCTTATTGGTTAGACAACTGCAAAGTTCAGAATAACAATATCATCAACTTGTTATGAAAAATTATATGCAAATTGACGTCAAAGGACTGGTACCGAGTGTTCCTTTCATTACATAAATATGATACATCGCACTGGAAATTAATTAATGAAATTTAACACAAGTATTTTGTTTTACAGAAGAACTCTGTACCATTATGTAACAATACTCTTTAGAGATTAAAGTACAAATTCCATTTTAATCACACACTTCCAACTGCTGTCTCTGAACAAAAACTTATGTATATTTCCCTTAGAAAAAAAAAGTTTTCTATGCATGTTTTTTCTTTCTCGGCACTAAGTTACAAATCATAAATCAACTATTTACAAAACTTTGAATTTTTCAAAATACTGTACAAAGGATTTTCTACCCCAGGAATAGATTACCTTAGCTATATTTGGCAAAACCTTTCAGAATTTCGAGTCCTCAATTGCTTTTCAAATTTGTATTTTGTTTGGTCTTTTTTAACTTCTTTGACTTGAAGGTCACTGATGAGTCTGTGTATGGCGTACAAAATTTTAATCCTGGTATCTATGATGAGTATATTTACATTAAATTGTTTATACTTTTGTTGGTAACTTATCAAACTTATTTACATATTGTTCACCCCGTCCCTAAATTTATCATGTACAACCATTTTAGGGACTTTAATTCATCAGTTAAGACTGAAATGCTAGCAAACCAAAAGAAATCAATATCAAGGGAGTCTGAAAAAAAAAGGTTCAAATTTTTGGCCTTCATTGAAATAACTTTCTACAAAAATTTCTGATCTTTGATCCGTTCAACCAATTCAACAAATACTTGTAAGGTCTAAAACAATACAGGCCCTTCACTATAGTAGTTAGGATGAAAATGAAGATTTGTAGATCGACAAAATTTCTTTTCATGTATTTCTCTTGAAACTAAAAACAGATATCAGGCAGTACAAGGTATTTCAAACCTTTCAAAATATATTTTTCTAAAGACAATTGGAACTCCTTTTTTACAGTAATAAAACATTCAGCTAAAACAAATATCTGTAAATAGTATTTTTTCATTAATTGGCATCATTTTTGTAGTTTATGACTTCAATAGACTTATATCCCTGACATTTCACAGCTATCTTTACCCAACTTAAACATTACAAGCAAATCTGACATGTTTCCCTCCTGTAAAAAATGTCCCCACAACAGTAAATATTAAAGAAAGAAAAAAAAACAAGCAAATAATTGATCCTAGTGGACCTACCTTTCATTGTCTATAATAGGGCTCCACATCATAAAAGCCATGTTCCTGTATTGAAATTAACTTTTAAACTTTCTAATCAAAATGATGACAGGTGTATTATATATGATACAATCTATTATCATTCAAATCATATCAGTTTACACGTTTTGAATTCCAGTGTGACAAAAGGGGAATAACTCTTACTCCCATAGACATCAAAGAGCAACTTTAAATAACAAAATTATCAGACATTTTTCTCAACCAAATATTTATTCAGCCTATAATTCATTTTCTTTTTATTGGCAATGATATAAATGCATCACATACTTCTTAAATCTGATGTTGAAGAATTTCTTACTTTCAAGCCAAGATAAACTAAAAATCTCAATAAATATCACAGCAAAATATGAAAAAAAATTGTCATACATGTATCTCCAAAACCTTTCAGTTTGAGCAAAAATAACCATCAAATAAATAATAACTTCCTGCACATTAAATATTATGTCATTCAATGTATAGTCAACAAGATTTTTTCCCTATTCTTTGAATGATTGAATAATATAGTATTGTGTTTGTTGAAGAGCTTCTAATCTTTTTGCCAATCCGAATTGACAAAAGAAAAAAAATTCTTTTGAGACCAAGATTATTTTGAGTTCTAAGTTTTCAGAAAGCTTTACATAACAGAATTTTTATTAAATTATGTGTTTGTCAAAATAAATGGTTAAATAAATGGGGAATGTGTCCATGGGACACAGATGATGCCCCTGCTTGCATATAACATTATAAAGGGACATAACTCAAGAACCGTAGAAGTGATGCAACCCAAATTTGTACTTGATCAAAGTTTTGTGGTAATAAGCATTTTGTATAAGTTTCATACAAACTAAAGAAAGAGAACGGAAACAAAAAATTCAGCAATTTTTCCATTTGTAAAGGGGCATAGCTCTAGAACGGTAAAAGTGACGCCACCAAAATTCAAACTTGATCTGTGTTTTGTTGTAATAAGCACTGTGTATAAGATTCATAACATTTGGTTGAGGCAAACTAAGTTAGAGAACGGAAAC